ACCAACGGGCCAGGTGCGGGTGCGACCTGTGAGACAGTGACAAGCGGTAACCTCTTATGTGTCAGCCTCCACTTGGGGAGGTACTTTCACCTTCACACGGGGAGAACCACGGAATTCCCAACACATGGGCAAGGGTGTGAAAGGGCCCAGAGGTTCCTCTGTCTCTGTCTTCATTCCAGCTCCTCACTTCTGAAGCGTCTTTGCTATGAACTGGACCCAAAGAGACTCCTAACGGAGATTGTATTCCAGAGACTCATAAAACAGTCGATTAATCTCTCTCTGCTCCAAGCCTGCACCAAGACCTGGGTAATTGGTGGGTGCAATCTGATGGATTCTCTCTCTCTCCCATTGGGGATTGGAGGATTCTGTTTTCAGAACGTCCCGTCTGCGTGAGGAATGGCGCTGGCTGTGGCCAGGAGAACGGGACCATCTAAGTAGTTGCTCGTGTGACTCCCTGCTTGGCCAGCGTGGCACACAGGAGTGGCCCTTTGTCAGGCCCGGCCAAAGAGTTCGCGGGGCCCAAGGCAGGACTCTATGTCTGGCTGAGCCACAGAGCCACGCGGCTCCCAGTCAGGGCAGTGAGTAAGTGGCCAGGTGGGCGGGTCCAAGTGCTGGGCAGTGCAGGGTCCTGAATACGTGGGGCCCAAGGCAACCGCCTCGCTCTCCTTGCCCTAAGGCTGGGCCTGCTCTCTGGGACTGGCTTGGAGCTTTATCCTGGAGGCCCCAGGCGTGGGCTGTAAGGAGCCCTGTCTTGAGCGATTCGCCCTGATTTGAGCCTCCCAGTGGTGCCGCCAGAGAGGGTGCCGCCAGAGACCGGCTACATCACACGCCCTGCACCTGGGGAGTGGCCAGGGCGACCAGCTCTCACGTTGGGGGTCATGGGGCTTCTCACGCTTTGAGCTAAGCCAGCACCCCAATTCTGAGCCCAATCGCCTGTCCCAACCCTACACCAAGATGCCCTTTCAGCACCCCAAACTCAGCCCCACCCACTCTCCTGCCATCACCTGAGCACAGCTCACTCACCCCCTCCCACATCTCAGCCCATTACTTCAACCTACAGCCCCTTCCCAAATCCCTCATCCCCTACCTCCTGCCCATAACCCCTCCTGCACCTCAAACCCCTCACCCGAAGTACACCCCAGAGTCTGCATGGCCAACCAGAGCCCTCAGCCCCTTCCTAATTCAAACTCCCAGCCCCATTACCTCCTGCCCATAGCCCCTCCTGCACCTCAAACCCCTGACCCCAACCACACCCCAGAGTCTGCACGGCCAACCAGAGCCCTCAGCCCCTTCCTCATTCAAACTCCCAGCCCCATCCCAGCCCCCCTTCCTGCATCCTGAACCCTGCCCCTGCCACCCCCCCCGAGCCCGC